CCCCCCCCGCGAGCTCGTGAGGGGGCGGAGGGGAAGGGGCAAACGGACGGAGGCAGGTAACAAAACTGAAAGCCGCGTCATCGTGGAAATAGAGGAGGGAGATAGCGCAGCGGAGAAGGGAAAAGAACGCAGAGCGGGCGGAGAAGGGCGGAACGGACAGGCGAGGGGGAAGCAGATGAAAAGAGGACGGGGGGACGGACCGGGGGGAAGACGGAGGGCATGTAACCTGTGGCTCTCCCCGCCACCCGTCCCGCCCCCGCCGCCATGGCAGCACCCGGGGCCCGGAGGCGCCAGTGGCGGCGACGCCAGCGGCAGAACCACCAGTGGAGTTGTTGTTCACAGGGTGGAGGGCCCTCCAGGGGACGGCCGGCGAGGGCGAGCAAAGAGCCGGCGGGGGGCCGCCAGTCCTAGCCGCTAGCGGCCGCTAGTGTAGGCCGGCCCGGGCCTCTGGCCCAAGAGGGCAGCCCGCGGTCATCTGATGTGGGTGACAGCTCGGCCGCCGCCGCGCCGCCTAGGAGGAGCCGACCTTGGCAGAGTGCGAACCTTGTGGGAGGCCAGTCCCGCGGCCGCTCGCTATTTCGAGTGACATGTGCATGCCGCACAGCCGCACACAGCCAGGGACTGGCGCGGCAGCTCGGGGACGCAGAACACACCGCCATGCTCGGCGACAACCGAGAGGGCGCCGTCGGGGCGGAGCTAGCCTGGTGCAAACATAGCAGACAGGCGTGCAGGCGCAACGACTGAAACTGGAGCCGGTGATACCAGTCAGCGCTGGGCACCTGTGCCTGTGCCGACGAAGCCCACGCCCACGCCGCCAACGCGGGTCGGGCACCTACGACTTGCTAGCCACCGCGACAACAGCCCCAGCCCGCCCCGCGCCTCTGGCGCAACCGTCGCATCGGGATGGCATTTGGCGCGTAGTACGACTTGCACACCCCCTTTTCCTCCGCCATGGCCCCTCGGCAGGTGGTGACGGCCGCCAGCTTCCGAGAACCGCAGGGACGGGCCGCGTTGTGAGTGTTCTGAGAACGCCCTGCAGATGGGCCCCGCGCGCCCTGCCCGCCCCCCACAACAAACTCCCCGCACCCTCAAGGGGGGAGGGGGGCAAACGCAGACCCCTCGCGCCTCGCGGGCGCGCCGCCGAACACTGCTGCGCTCACGGACCACAACTAAACGCGACGCCCAGATAACCGGCGCGGCTTTCCTCCGAAGTGACCAAGTTCCTGGAAGCATCCGTCATTCCCGGAGTCAGCAGGTGTGGCTGCCACAGCCGCCGCCGCCGCCCCCCGCCCCGGCCCGGCCCGGCTCGGGAGCCGCTCGAACAGGTTCTTGGGCAGCCAGGCTCGCCGGCGCCAGAGCGCTGGCCAGCCCGCCCCGCCGGCCCGGCGCAGGTTGGGTCCGCGCCTCCACCGTTACGCGTGCCCCTCGCGAGAGAGAGGACCTTGAAGGAGGGGAAGCTCTGAACCGCGACCTGCACCAGAACCTGCACCCGTACTGCGGCCTAGGCGAGCTAGAGCAAGCGAGAACACGAGAACAAAAAAAATCTGCATGCCCTTATGCCCTTCTGCCAACGATTGGGCCGACTCCTGGAGCAAGCTGCCGCTGCGCCTGGAGTCCGCGCGCTCCCTTGCCCCGGCCCCGTTGCCCTGGACACAGCCGAATAGCCAGCCATTCCGAGAATCGGCTGCCCCGCCCCTCCCCAACCCGCACTCATCTATTTTTGTCACATCCACGGCGACCAACTCGTTAGAAAAGTGGTCCGGGCGGGGCCGGTCGGGGCCGGGCCCGGCACGCGATATACACCAGAGCGCCTTCAGAAGGACGCGCGGCGGGCGGGGCGGGGCGGGCCGCGGCGTGGCGTGGCGGGGAGCTGGAGTCCAGTCCAGCAGACAGGTAGGCCGGCAACACATTCCAGCTGAGGTCGCAGGCGCGCGCCGCGAGTGGGGGCTGCGGAACCTGTATGTATCAAGGTGGACACTGAAAAAACACACCGATGTGACAAGCGATGCCATTTTTTTTATTTTTTTTGTCGGTTGACAAACAAGCGGAAAGGGGTAGTAGGGGAGGGGGCAGGGCTCGAAGGGAGACGGATCGCAATAAGCTCGGCGAATCGCAGGTTTCAGAGTCCACGTTATCCGCCCGACCGAATATCTCCTACTAGGACCCCGAGCCACGCCCGGCCCCTCTCGCGGATCTGATAAAACGCTTGGATCCCTCTCCGAGCGTCTCGGGGGGTGGTGGCACACAGGCGTTCACAAGGAAGGGGAGAGAACGGGGAGAGTGAGAACCCCCAAGGGAGACTACCCGGTAGAGAGAGTTAGGGAGTGAGACTCCCCGGTGCGCCAGGTCGAGACCCGCGCGTAGCCCCCGGGCGCGTGGGCGGCGCGGCGGCGGCACTGCTGACGGCGAGGCTGACGGCAGCGAGGCTGGCTGCCCGGAAGCGCATCGGGCAAGGTGGATGCAAACACTGCAGAAACTGGAGCCTGGCCTGGCGTTGCTGTCAGTCAGCTCGGAGCACCTGTGGCAGCCCGTGGCAGCCCGTGTGTGGCGAGACAGGCTGGCTAATCCGCCCCGCCCACTCCTCACGGCTCGGACAGATAGGCAGCCCTCTCGGCCGCGCGCGTGTGCGGGACAGTCCACCTCCAGAGACGCGCGGCGTGCGTGAGTCACCACCTGGTGGTGCGACTCGGTGCTCGACTTGTAGCGGTGTAGCAGCCCAGCCCGCCACCGCCAATCTTCATCCAGGGCGCGGAGGGCGGAGACGGGGCCGCCGAGTGAGCGGGGTGCAATACAGCAGAGACAAAGGTCCACTGGGGGCGGGGGGTGGCGGCAGCAGACGGGCGGGAGCAGGGGAGGGTGGGGCGGCTGGGCTTCGATCGCCCCTCTGCCCAGTGCGCGCCCCGCCCTGCCCTGCCCTAGCCCGACCGCCCAGTTTCCTTTGTGTTTCCTTGTCGCTCTCTCTCTCTCTCTCTCTCTCTCTCTCTCTCTCTCTCTCTCCCTCTCTCCCACCGCCCACCCTTCACATCATATACCCTCGTATACTCTGAGCGCACGGAGAAACAGCAGCTCAGGAAGACGCCGCCAAAGGACTCAAGCTAGCTAGCTAGCTAGACCGTAGCCACAATCAAGGGTGTAAGCAATAAGCAGTGCATCCCCGCGTCATTCTTCTATTTGAGAGAGGGGAAACAAAATGAATACGGAAGGATATGTACAGAAAACAATAGCGCAAGTGCCCTGTTCAGTCCGCGTCGGTTAAAAGAGCATGGCAGCTGTCAACCAGTAATGTACGATGCAATAAATTCGCTTCTTCAACAACATTAAGAGACATAAAAAAAAACTAAAGGGGATTACCATAATCTAATTTCTCTTTGTCCCTTAAAGTGAGTTGCAACCAAGTCGCGATACAAACTAAAAATAATTTTGAAACAAAGAATAATCAACTGAAAAGGCTATTTGGATCACGTCAGGTGTACGGGAAATGTAACAGTATCGGAGGTTTGCTAAGGAGCCACAGCTGGTGCCTTTCAAGAGATAACCAGGTGGCTGATTCGACCCCGCGCACTTATATACCGAGTACCTGCGGCGTGCGGCCAGGTTGCCTACTTGCTCGACCCGTAAGACGCCCATGTTCACGGGCGAAAGGTAAGCCAGCACGCACGTCACAGTAGCACAGTATAATAATTAGATTTACTCAAGATCGTCGCCCTTGTTGAAGTCAAAGAAAACATATATTCGAAAAGGAAGCCGTGAGCACAAGCCAAACGCAACCC